AGTACAAGATGTGACATTTTGTACAGTAATATATCAAGGCAATGCAATCCGACTCCACCTAACCCAGTGTTATACTGGATAGGTCTGTCAGTTCTAAATTGTTTTCCTTCCTCCAGTAAGAGGTTTCCCTTTTGATTTATCATTGATACAGGGGGAAACCTCAACGAACTTTATTTATACTGGATCAGAATCTATCGTTTCTAAACTGTTCTTTCTACCCGAAGGAAGCCCAGTATGGCTCATAAATACTCATATTTATGAGCCCATAAATACTGAGCATTACTGCACGAGGACATGTTAACACGTAAACAAACTTTATTTATACTAGGTAGCTCTATGTCAGTTCTAAAATGTTCTCTCTAGAGATCCAGCAATGGCTACTCTTTATTGCCTCAGCATTACTACAAAGGGGGGACCGAAACTAAACTGACTTTATATTGATACTGGACAGCTCTATCTGGTCAGCCAAAACCAGTAAGCTTTATATTTATATTTATATTCATATTCATATTCATAAGGAGCAAGAACTTCAGTCATTCGACCCAGTTCGGTTATCAGTTCATTGAAACCATAATTTGTTTTTTAAATTGAAGTCAAAAAACGAAATTTCGGCGGCACATTCCTGTGCTTGCGGCTAGCCTTGTGTTAACCGCACAGACAGAGAAAATAGAAAGGGACTGGGCGTCAATTTCGCCATGGCTTTGGCTTTTGGACGCGAGGTAATTCTTACTCCACTGAAGTATAGACCTCACCGACCTAAACGGCATAGTATGGACCTAATGTTACTCCATGATGAAATTATAATAAGTTGGAGTAGTACTATTAGTGAATAGACAGATTTAGATCGAGGACGCGGACGTCAAAGACGACGTGAAAATGGCGTCAAAATGGCGTGGCATATCCATACATACAGCATGGGCACAACACGCTATTTTCACGTCGTCTTTGACGTCTGCGTCCTCGATCTAAATCTGTCTAATAGCTCTAAACGAGTCAAACCACGGCAGCTAATTGTAGAATACTGCTACAAAATAGAGATCATACAGAAGCCCGACTTCTTGGTTTTTCCTATGATTTTGGCGTAACCGTAATTCGTCATCAAAATGCTGACGCCACGGTCCTAGCCAGTGCGCTTATAAGAGGCATTCACCCCCTGATAATATTCAAAATGGCGGACGTCCAGGAGGAAATGCCTCTCATAAGCGCACTGGCTAGGGCGTGAGGACACAGATGATAGATAATACCAGATGAATCACTCAGCCAAAATTGTGTCCGCGATTTTTTATGAACACGCGTTGGCCGCCATTTTGGCAGTAAGTGTAATCCACGCCATGAAACGTGAGCAATCACGCATTTTGGCAGTGAGCACCATTTTGGCAGTAAGTGTCGCATGCGTCATCTGGCGTGATAGACTCGCGAAAATCGCGGACACGAAAATCATAGGGATAGATACAGAGTGATTCATCTGGTATAATCTATCATCTGTGGTCAGGATTTTGATGACGAACCATGGCGTGGCTGCGGTTACGTTTTTTTTTGCTGAGTCGACTTTCTGTGTGTCTTTATTCTGTGATATTGCCAAACGCCGGAACCCAAGTAACACCCTTCATAAAATTCGAGACCATTCTGTCTATATAAAACCCAAGCTATAATATCATGCGCAAATATTTGCTGTAATAACTCTAAGCAACAATTACACACAGTCATGGTCAATATTGACGAACGCTTTGTCATGCTTTGTCCGAGTCTCTGAAAATATAGGCAGGATTTCCGTCACATCTCACACCATGGCGAGCCACCTTTGTTCTGGATATAATGCACAGCGGTCATACGCAGCAAGAGTATATTTGTGTGAGGTTGGGAAAACGTAAGTTTAAAAAAAATTACACACTTGTTTTTGTGTGAGATATAAAAATAAACACGAGGCCCTATATTTAGTATTACAACTACGTATATGTATATATGTAATTTTAGATAAACTTGAAAAATTTGGGATTTCTCGAGAAGTTAAATTTGTATGACTATAGGCTTATTTACACTATCAAAGTTTCGGTGATCACAGTAGAAATTTTGCACGGCAAATTCTAAAGTTTTGAAGGATTTGTAAGTGATGTTTGAGAGTGACTCGTAGTGACACTGAGTCGGTTCCGGGGTTCCTCAAACATTTTTTACAAATCCTTCAAAACTTAAAATCTACCTACCCTAAGTTAGTTCAAGTTGTTTTGAATAAAGATCAATAAAGACTGGTGGTTCACACTATCAAAGTTTCGTGATCACAGTAGGAATTTTGCATTGGTAAAGTCTAAGTTTGAACGATTTGTAAGAAATGTTTGAGGGACCTGACTCACTGTTTAACACTCAGTAAGTTCCCTCAAACATTTCTTACAAATCCTTCAAAACTTAGAATTTACCTTTGCAAAATTCCTATTATGATCACAGAAACTTTGATAGTGTAAACCATCCTTTATAACACTCAGTAAGTTCCCTCAAACATTTCTTACAAATCCTTCAAAACTTAGAATTTACCAATGCAAAATTCCTACTGTGATCACAGAAACTTTGATAGTGTCAATCATCCTTTATAACACTCAGTAAGTTCCCACAAACATTTCTTACAAATCCTTCAAAACTGAGAATTTACCTTTGCAAAATTCCAACTAGGAATAGGATCACAGAAACTTTGATAGTGTAGAAAACCTTAAAACTATGGTCATGATTTTGAAAAGTTATGCTTATAAGAGATTTAGTTACTAATTTACACTGTCTACATACAAAAACTTCTGAAATCACTGCAGTGTGATCAAGCAATGAGAGTTGAGGAAACTCTCATGTCAACTCTCATGCAGTCTTGTTCTGGTGTGATCAAGCAATGAGAGTTGAGGAATCTCTCATGAAAAATCTCGTTTGTCAACTCTCATGCAAAGCTTGTTCTCGTTTGATCAAGCAATGTCTATATGAGAGTTGAGGAAACTCTCATGTCAACTCTCACGCAGTCTTGTTCTGGTGTGATCAAGCAATGAGAGTTGAGGAATCTCTCATGTAAATTCTCGTTTGTCAACTCTCATACAACGCTTGTTCTCGTTTGATCAAGCAATGAGAGTTGAGGAAACTCTCATGTCAACTCTTGTTCTGGTGTGATCAAGCAAGGAGAGTTGAGGAAACTCTCATGCAGTAAACTCTCGTTTGTCAACTCTCATGCAACTCTTGTTCTGGTGTGATCAAGCAATGAGAGTTAAGGAAACTCTCATGCAAGTAAACTCTCGTTTGTCAACTCTCATGCAACTCTTGTTCTCGTTTGATCAAGCATGCAATGGGAGTTGACCAGCCAACGTTAGTGTAAATTCTGGCCTCCCAAATTTAATGACTCTTGTTATCGTGTGAATACACTCTCGCCTGCGTGCCAATTTTCGTGCAATTGTTGTTTCCCGCGTGATAGTGACGAAAACTTTCTCCTGCCAACTTTCATCTAAGTAAACTATTGTCATTGACTTTAGCGGATCTTTGATCCGAAACTATTGGCTATTTTTTCTCTTATCCTATCCGGAGAACAGTCGCCTGTAGGAAGTCACCTCCAATTTAAAGACAATAATCAACATCATTAGCAGTTTGTTTATTATAACGAACCTACATACGTAACATCTCTTTAATGTACTCGTTTACATGTTATTTATTTAGTTTTTATGTAGTTGTTTTTCATGATGAAAAGATCCTAAAACACATCATTATTACCATTAAACCTTAATTGATTTGTTATGCTGGAATGTCGGTGCTTTCAAAAAAGTTGGCAAAAATATTACGTAAAGTAAACTACGTTAAGCGTTCCTCTTTTGAGTGGCCAACTTGTTTGCAATTTTCCTCATCACCTTCGCAAATCTGAAAGACTCCCTTACAAATCCCTTGAGGGAATTCCTATCGGATGTTAAGGTAGAACGTATTCCAATGCTTGGTTCCAATTCAGAGAAACGTCCTTTCAAATTTTCCTAACTTCCTCAATTTTGATTTCTTGACTTCATGTTCTGTTCTGAGCGTTGTCATTGGTGGATTATTTTTGTGAACAGGGAATTAGGAACTTGTGACGGGAAGTTAAGAACTTCTAACAGGAATTGAGGAAAATTTAAATGGCTTTTAGGAACATTCATTTGCAAATTCCTAATCTATTAAGTATTATTGTTTTTTTTTATTATTTCTGAATGTTTATATACACTACCAGGCAAAGTTTAGGAAAATTATCCTAATTTGGTAATCTATTATTGTTATATTATTTCTCAATGTTTATACAGTATACACTATACCAGGCAAAGGTTAGGAAAATTATCCTAATTTCCTCAACTAAATCATTAAGAGAAGATTTTTTTCTATGTTACGTAACACGCGCTCAAAACTAATGCGTTTAATATATCGCTTGAGGTTATGACTAAATTCAAAATTTTTATTTTTCGATACGTTTCGCAATCGGCAAACAAACTTAAAAAGTATGTATAGTGCTATATCTGTAAAATAATGCTAAAATGAAGAGATTTTAGATGATACGCCAAAGAGAAAATGATGTCTAAAGTTCAGTAACTAGTTTTGCTTATATGGCTGTATAAAATATGTCGTCAATTTTAAAGCATCATTAATAACTGTATTTTAATTGACAATTTTTAACTATTATTTTATGTTTCTCAACCGGCAGGTGCATTTAAAAAGGTAGCTAACTCTATAAACTACAGAATAAAGCTAAAACAAAGTAATTTTGAGAGGAACGCCAAAAAGATTTTAGGTTTTGAACACTGCTGATTGAAAATACGTGACATTGAAAAAAATTGCCTCTTAATAAAAACATTAAGAGAATTGGCACCGAGAATTGGCTACGATGCATTAATTGCCACACTTCAGTGGATTTGATTTGCTTCTCAGAAATATTTATCTTAACTTTTAATTAACCCATTACTGGGCGAGACTCTCCCCCTTGACAAGTAAAATCACACAGCATTAGACATGGTACACAATATTCAGTAACAAAGACTATGTGCACACGGTAACGTTTTCGAGCGTTTTCAGCTGTAACGTTTTCAAAGAGTGTCGTTTTCAAGCCGTGTCCACACGAAAACGGATGAAAACGTCATCTTATGACGAAAACGTTCTCAATGCTAAAAACGTTTTCGGACAAGCGTTTTCACGTTGAAACGCTAAAAATCCAAGATGGCGGCTTAAAATCAAAATGTTATATTTTTGTTTCCTGGAAGCTTAGATCTTTCATTGGATCATTAATTCTTAAGTTAAAAACTTTAGCAACAAATACAACAAAATGTATAGCCTTTCAAATGTATAATGATTTATGAACGATTTAAAATGCGGTTTGCTTTCGATGAAGCGACAGACTTCGTATCGGTGATGCTAAACAGTACATATATATCGTTTACTTTATGATAATGAGCAGAGAACATTTTAAGAAACTCGTTGACAAGTAATG